AGTCCATGGCGGGTGTTTTGTTCTGAACGTCGGTTATCTGTTATCGGTTATCGCTTTAATCGTTGATTTTGATTCTCCTTTTCTTTTTTGTTAATTTTCCAATCGATTCCTTGTCGTTGTTTTGTTATGGTTTCTTGTTTAGTATTTGCACTCGAGTTGTTTGGTTTTTGTTGTGGTTATTGTTTTTCTTAGTCTGTCAGCAGCGCACATTTTACTCAACTGGAAGTAATTTCGAATTTTCGATTTTCTTTTAGGTTGTTAAAAAAAAAAGAGAACCCACAAAAACCGAAAACAAAAAGACCAATCTCAAAAAACTTTGCAATACAATTTGCCAACAAGTAAATAATAACAAACTATATTGAAAAATAGGAGGAGAAGTACATGGTTTTAGGTCAACGGCAGGCGAACAACTGAAGCTGCAGCAAAACAAGTGACCCACAAGTCACTACATTCCATATATAGTTTATGGCCAAGACGGAGAAAAGTAGAGACAGATAGGGGAAACATCTGGGAGGGGGGTCTATGAAGACCATCAATAACCAGCAGAAAGTAGGCAACGAAAAATAGAAACCATAAAGAAACGAAGAGAATGGGACAATGGCTACGACTACGAGTAGAAATGAACTGCGAAATGCAAAATGTCATTGTGATGACATTGTGGGCAGCATTTGGGCACTTTGTATACCAAAAATACGAGCATATTCCAAGAAGGCAACATGACAGCGACTGAGAGCATCAGTCATGCCCCCAAACTGCCTTATCCCCTCCTTCTCGAACTTTTGACCGCTGACTGGGGACTAATAAAATTCAAGTTAAATGGTTGTTAAAAATTTATAGCAGACGCCTCGGTTTCCGTGTGCCATTTTGAAGGCATTGAGAAAACAGCAACAGACGCCACAAACAGCAAGACAGAAGCGGCATTATATGGCGGGGGCACAGCAGAGATGTTAGTCACAAAGCTGACGGGGAGTGTCACCCGGGTTTTCGGTCCTCTGGCATTTTGCACGCAAGCCACACAAATTTCCGGTACGTTTGCCGACTCAAAAATATAGTTAACAATAAAATTCTAGATTTATGGTATCCAATTTTATGTAAGGTCATATAAGGTTAAATATTCTATTAGAAGCCATTAAATACTCGAACTCCGACTTATCCATCTACAAGCAAGTGGCCTAAATTTGATGATATAACGTTCAAACTGAATTGATTTAACAATGTTTTTTTTTATTAAGGTCTAACCATAGGTGGAGGTAAAAATAAAGAATTATTTACGTTAAATATTTAGAATGCTCAAAAATATTGAAGGCCCTTCAAAATTAACCCAACATTCTGTAGTCTGACCATAACTAAACCCTTAAACTTTACATAACTTTCAAATTCTGCTTTGATATAAAATGGACAGAGTTTTGAAAAATTTGCCAAACAAATTAGAAGTTAACAAAACCAAGTGGAAACTTTTGCCGCCTGACCAAAGGTCTCATATGTGTGTGTGTGTGTGTTTTTCTTGTATTTTTGTAGTCCTGCCAGCAGTTACAGTCGAAGAAAAATAAGCATACAGTTGCTTGGTGCTCTTGGTTCCTCTGGCCTTTCCTATAGCTTCTCGAACAGCTTTGGCTTTGGCTTTGGCTTTGCCAGCCGTCATCCGTTGGCCCTTCCGCTTCCATTGGTGCTGGTGCTTGGAGCGTAATTTATCTGCAGCTGGAGGAGCAGTAAGGGGAGGGGAATCCTTGCTGTCAACAGGAGTCCTACGTTCCGGGTAAAATTTATGCAAACCGACGTATGGCCAACAGGATGGGAGATGGCAGAAATATATATGTTTTGCGCCAACATCAACAGAGAAACTTGGGGATGGGCAAGGCAAATACAAGAGAAGAAAAAAAAAAAAGAAGAAATCCAAGGCAAAAGAGAAATGGGAAACCCAGTGTATTAACTGCAGCTAAATCAAACTTTTGAGCCAAGTTATGAATTATTTGCCATTGTGCAGCAGGCGAAACATTCCTTTTGTCGCTGACTTTGTCCCTGGTTATGTTTTTTCTTTTTTTGGCAGCAAGCCCATCGGTTGGTTCTGTTCTCTCTGTTTTCGTCCATTCGAACACCGCCCCCCACAGAAAGGACATTACGATCCACCTGCCGAGTCATCCGAACCCCCAAGTCAATTTGAACAGCATTTTGCCGCAGCTCTGGTTATACAAACAAGATTCCACATTCCGTTTCTTGGCTCTCGACTTCTTCGAAGGGTTTTTTAGCCTTTCTTTTTCTGTCTAGCTGTGATGATTTGCCATTTGGGGACGACCGGTCCGAAAGGCACGTAAATTGAATGGGTCGGGGCCAAAGGTTTCAGGGGTAAACAAAAAAAAACACCAAGACAACGGAGTCAGAGGAAAAACAAAAAACTCTAGCAAAAATTAAGTGAAAATAATAAACTCTTCGCACACATTCTGTTTTGGGCCTGGAGGCTGGTGAATGGGTAATGGAAAAGGTAAAGGTAACGCAAAGGGGCATTACACACACGTTGACCAACGGATTTCCTGCCGCCTGATGGCATTACAGTTAATTAAAGGTGAACCGATAGTCACAGACTCCTGCCAACGCACAGTGGGTTTGAAAACCGAGGAAATTTGTGAGCAAAAGTTGTCTCCTTAGCAGACTTATTATTTCACAAGAATATGGAACATATAGAGTGTTTTATGTCTGGATACAAAAACCTAATATTAATATTTAAAACTTAAGAGCCAGAGCCCGCACTTCTATGGTAAATCAAATTATCGATATATCTTCAAATTTATGACAAGAACTAAAATAATCGATAATTTATTCATCGGAAATTTATTTTACCTGTGAAACAATTTTTATTAAGCTTTAATTATAAGCTTACTGACAAGAACCTGAACAATCGAGAACTATTAATCTTAATATCAACAAATTAACAATCGATTATTTCTAAATCGAATAGATTTTTGGATTGCCTACAAATTATCTATACTGGTTTTATTAGTGGTTCCCTCAATTCAATGCCCAAAGTATAATTTCTAGTTTACCGGAAATTGTCCCATGGTGACTTGGCCTTATGTGGATGCCACTAGATTTTAGATTTTCATTGTGTGTGTGTGTGTGTGTGTGTGTGTGTGGGCCAAAGCAAAATGGAAACTTTGCAAATGAATGGCAAGGCATTGGAAATAATGAGCTGTATTTACATTTCAAAGCGCTCACACAGGCGAGCGGCAAAAGTTTTTGGCCTCCCCCGACGACCGACGACCGTCGACCTACGTACGACTACGGGTCGAAATCAGTTACGAAACTCTCAAATAGAGAAGGATTGCGAGAAAAGTGGGATTAACCAAGGATAGTCAGAGTCACGATGAGGGAAAAATCTGCTCAGCTCTGCTCTGGAACTGTGGGGTAAGTAAATTGCGAAGCTTTCGGTGGCAGGATTGCATACAATTTGTTTTATGGCCATGGCGTGCACATTAAACGCGCACTTAATCACACGCAATGGGCGTGGCAGATCCTGGGCCAGTCCGCCCACCATCGTCTGTGGCGACAAATCAAATTGATTTCGTTTTTGCTTTGGCTTCCCTTTACCGATTTTTTGCCCCTTTTCTTTTTGTTGCGTTCTTGTTGTTTTGCGCCTTATTAAATCACTTTTATTGCCATTGAAATGTGGAGAAAGTTGTGCGGGGGCGTCGGCGGTGGCGATAGCGATGGCGATGGCTGGGCGTATATGTAATATGATTTTTAGCTGCGCACCAAAAAATAATTCATATTTATGGCAAAATTTCTTGCTCAGTTCATTGGCAAATGCGTCAAAGAAAGGGCGAACGAACATCATGATGATGTCTGGGCTAGAAGTAAATGATATTATGTGGCCGACTGGATATATACATATATTGTGGTGGAGTACTTTTTTATGGGAGAGGAAAGGGAGCAGCCACGGGCGATTTGCTCGGTGGTTGGCCATAGTAAGGCATCCGTTTGGCCCACGGCTACGACCAAACCGCGCCATCGAATATGTCTTTGTGCGCCTGACAACCATCGTCGCACTACAAATCGACAAGACAAACAATGCGAGGGCCACTAGAGGCTGAACATTGAGTCAATGGTTTCGGATTCCGTCTCAACTTTCGACAGATGACTCTTGAGCATGAGATGGTGAGGATTAGACTTTGGCTTGGTTAGTATCGAATGAAAACACTCGAAACTTATTTGCTCTCTGCTATCGTATATCCCATGTACTTTAATTACATTTGGCTGCAGAAATTCTCCAGATTCCCATTTAATGAGTTTTGTTAGGTATTATCATACCAAAACATTGATAACCAAATTATATATATCAAATGTTTAACAATTTATAAATTTCTTTGTTAGCAAAACTATTAATACCATTCGCTTAAGATCTTATTTTTAGACCGAGAAAAGTGATGTTTTTTGACATTTTTTCAAGCATTTCTCAAGAGGCTATGCTATAATAACCCTGCCTAAAAAAGGTTGAACCATTTTTCCCCCATTATCCCTTTTTTTCGCCAACCTAATCTACAGGCAACGGTGAGGCTAGTACCAAAAAAAAAAAAGAACTACACCGACCCTAGATTCAGCCACAGCGTTTCAGCGAGGCGTGTAATTAAATTTTCATGCCACCTGCCTGAGAGTTGGGCTTTAAGGGAGGGGGAGGCGAGGCGGAAAACTGGAGGGCGGAGTGCGGAATATGGGAGTGGCATACAAAGAATGCAAATTGTCGGGGCTATTCCAAAATGCAAGCATCAACGCCTTTGAATGCAGCCAAAGCAGGCGGAAGTAAATGCAGCAGCAGCTTCCCCTTTCTGCCCTATTTTTTTTTCTTTTTCTAATTTTCCCTTACTTTTTAACCACTTTTCTTCTCACCTGCCACTCGAAAAATGACACTCAAGTGGTCAGGTATTAACAGGTAGAAACAACATGCTTGAATTTAGCTGCTTAAATTTACTTTATACTCATATGTTTGGGCCATTTAAATTTTTTTTTAATATTTATTAAGTAATAAATGATGTATTAGGATATTTAATTAAAATTTGAAAATGTATAATTTAAATTTATTTGAAACTTTTAATAGTGAAAGCTGCTGTTCTTGTTTAACGTATGCTTAAGCTAAAATTAAACCTAGAAAGGTTTACAATTGGAAATTAACCAAGAAATGCCACAGCGTACCCTGTAAATCAGTTATCCCCAGCAAGCTGGAGGGCGTTTGTCTACATAACCTATCAGATTCGATTGGATAAACAAACCAAACAAGCAAACAAAACAACAGCCTTCAAGCAACACAAGCAGACGACGCCGACAATAAAAACAAAACTTCTCAATTATTTCAAACTACATCTACATATATACATTTCGCCAAGATGCCAGTGGTGTTGCCATGTCGTTCACGGGCCGACAGTAAACTTCATGCGAATTGTTATGATCGACTAAGGAAACGGATTTATTTGGAAACGCCACCATTGTCAACCATTGAGGAGGAGATAAAGTGTGGAGTTCGCCGAGATAGACCCGTAAAGCCCAAGGAGCAGAGGCGACCATTGCCGCCGGGCACACGGCCACCCAATCCTTTGGTCATTCCAGGAAAAAACGCCAAACGACCGGTGGTGGGTGGTGGAAAAGCGCCACCACGTGCCCGCGAATACGATGGGGCAAAGGCCACATTCTTTCACATCAAGGGACAATCGTGGGAATCCAAGGGTTATGCGGAACTCTCTCAGAGCGAATTGGATCGCATGAGGGCATCGAGACCGAAGACCACCGAGGAACGGCGAGCGGAACAGGATCGTCGGATGGAGGAGCAGCAGTACCATACCGCCGAAGCGGAACGTATGCGCAATTATTTCCATGACATCGATGAACAGCGCAGGGAAATGGAACGTGAAACGGAGAAAAAAAACGCTGACGAGGCCGAAGAAGATGTGAATGAAGAGCGAAGAGCCGAGGCCAAGAGATTACAGGTAGGAATGTAAATCAGAAAGAGAATTAAACTCAAAACGAACCATTCAATATCCTTCTCAAGTTTAAATTAAATTAAATTGTAACATTCTTAAGATTTTTTAAAACTAAATTTCGATCTATCACAGTTAAAACTGGAAAAGTAATTATCGATTGTGCATCGTTATTCCATCACAATGTTCTCTATAAAGATAAAAACGTTTTTGAAAATAAGCTATCGAACTATCGAATTTGTTGTGTAGACAAAAATATCGAATTTTTGAAATATCATTAAAATTCTATACTTATAATAAATATACTTTTCATAAATCTTCAGCTTGTGACATTGTTGTTCAATATATGTTAAAACCAAATGTCGATTAAACATTAAGATGTCACATTGTTGAACAAAAAAAAAATCGATTCTCATATTGATTGCCAAATCGATAAATTGACATTTCTGTACATCCCTTATTGCAGGTCCTCCATCGCGCATTGGAAGCCAAACATGAATCAGACGCGCGTGTAAAAGCAGCCACTCGTGCAATTTCCGAGGCCAAATGCAGTGCCATGTGGACGGCACAGATTCGGGAGAGAAAACTCCTTGATCGCATCCAACTCGATCACGATGAGGAGATGGCGCGCAAGAATCGGGAATACAATAATGCCAAGTGGGGCACTGTGGAGCAACATGATCAGGCCGAAGAGGAGCGACGCAGGCAGTTTGGAAATGCTGTTCGCGAACAAATCAGCGATCGTGAAAAGTTGAGATACATGGCCCAAGATCGCCTGCGCATGGAAGCTCAGGACTTGCGTGCCATTGTGGATGAGTACAAAAAGGCCGAAATGGCTGAAGGTGAATCTCGGTCTCGTCGCAAGTTGGCCTACAGGGATGAGCTGAATAAGTACACCAAATTGCATCGCAATTTTGTGCGCATGATGTGTGAACAGGATCAAAGGGATGAAAACAGGGCCTACGAGTATCTAAAACTGAAGGAACAGCAACTAAAAGTGCAACGTGCTGAACGCGAGGCCATTGCAGAGGATGAAAAGCGCAAACGGGATGTACTATTTGCAGTGGGTCAGAAGATTCTCGACGCGAAGGACAATCGCGAGGAGATGCACTTCCTTGCCGAACACGAACGTTTGGAAAGAAAATACAGGGAAAACGAAAGAAAAGCAGCCGAGAAAGAGCGAGCAATGACCGCTGATCTCAAGCGTGCCAATATGGAACAAATGGAGCATCTTAGTAAAATGAAGGCTTGCTACTATGTGCAACGTGAAAGGGAACTCAAGGAGATGATCCAGTATCGGCAGAAACACGAGGAGCAAATGAAACGCGAGGCCGATGAGCTGGCCATCAAGAAGGCCTGTCTTCGCACCAGTGTATCCTGTCAAATTGAGGAGCGCGAAAAGGCTCGTCGCAGGGAACTGGAGGAAGAACATTTGGCCATCGAAAGGGAAAGGGCGGCTGAAGCTCAGCGACAAAAGGAAATCGATACGGTGATTACCGTCAAATTAGATGATCTACAAAGACGTGGATGTCTGCCCAATGTGGCTGTTCGATCGCTAAAAGGTCGTGTCGCCAATGCCGGCAACAGAAAGAAGCTGGGCCTTGAATTAAGTTAGTTTTTCTTTTCAATTTAATGCCTCAGAAAAAAAAAAAAAATAGCACACTGATATAGCACACACACACACACTGCTCACGTTGACAATGGCATAGATGGCTTTTCGAGCTTGGCGGTATTAAAACTTGCAGCATACTAAATGTACTACTACTACTACTACCACTACTCTTTGCGGTGGTGGCAACTTTTCTGTGTTCGTTGGGTGGCGGCGGCTACTGCTGGTTTTCCTCGCTGTTTGTTGTCAATTCAACAAGTTAAAACTACAGACCGCAGACAGAAGGATATATAGACAGACCGAAACGACTGGCACTCATTAAGCCACCGCCGATAGAGCAAACAAAGTTTTTTCTATCGATTCTCTCCATTTTCACATAAATTAAATACACATTTCTGGAATTAGAGCAACTAAAAGTAAACTTTATCGTGCAGCAAATGCGGCTGTAAAAACTGAAAAATAAGTTTAAAAAAGTAGAAAAAAAGAGGGAAAGCTTTTAGTTAAATTAATAACTGACTTATGCGTGGGCTTAAAATGTATTCAGGGATTATTTAAAGCTTATTTATTTGTTTTTTAGCAAACAGGTGTTCATTTTTTTGTAACATTTTCAACATTATTTAAGTGCTTGAAAAAATAGTTCGAAACCATTTTTAATAAATAAGGCACACCAATAATATCAATCAGTGTTATTGATTAAAATTCTAAAATTGCTTTAAATTAAAATTAATTGGTTTCATATCTTTTTAAATATGTTTAATTCAATTTAAAGTTATAATTATCACAAGTGGACTATATATATATATATATATATATGTTTCTAAAAGAAAAAACAACTTAACCAAACACGTAGCTAAATGGAGTATATATCACAAAAGGGGCGCCCCTGCCACGCCTTCTCGCAAGAAGCTATCAATTCTGTAAAGTCACAGAACAGAACGCTGAGATTAATTGAGTCGGATAAATTTCGCCGGGCTAATACGTCTTTGGGAATTAACCCACGATAGATGAGTGGGGGCTAAAACCAGCACACACACATACGGATTAGGCTAAATTAAGTTGAGTATAAGTAGAGAGCATTTGTTTCACTTAAATTTCCTTAAAGCGAAATTAATTTCACTTGGCCGACTATTGATTCGATTTTGTGAATTTTTGTGAGATAGATAGCAGGGACGAATGGGTTAAGCTGACCGTGACTGCATGGCTGCGGGTCATTTCTCATGACGGTCGGCGGGTTAATGATGCAGAAGAATATTGCCCTTGAATGAACCAGTGCTAAAAATCGGAACATGGGCCGGTTAAGGCCGAGATGAATGGGTTTTTGTTTCTGGGAGTTAAATGAAGAGAGATACTTCTCAATGGCTTAAATACTAACCATGATGTAGCGTTTATGGGAAATCCCCACAAGCACACACACACACACACACACACATTACTACACAATATAATTGCCAGTTCCTGCCTGTCGAACACAAAACAAAAATCATAGCATACTTCTCTGCGTTGGCCGGAAAACAACAAAGCAAAATCCCTTGAAAACAAATACAGTAGCGGGTAAAGTTATAGAACATCTACCATATTTCAGGAAACTACGTTTTTTCAAAAAAAAATCTGTTTACGATTTTAAGAAGGTGGAGATTTTTAGTCATGGGTATTTTATATCACAAACGAAATTTAACGATTGTTTTTACAAGCGAATTTTAACGATTGTTAAGGCACAGATGTGGATAAACATTCTTTTGAAAGGCCATTTTTAACGCTATTATTTTGTACGCATCTGTATATTTGCTATATGTGCACACATATGTATATGTGCACATACAGACGCAGGCATTTGGAAGGGAGGGTAGGTAGCTATGTGCTTGGTAAAAACAAACAATAGTAAAACTGATTAAGTCGGGAAAAACCACATCAAGCTAAACGATGATGAAGAAAAGACCAAAAGATTACGAACGTTGAACGTTGAACGCCGAGCACAAAAGGGAGAGACAAATGGTTGAAAATAAGAAGGCCGGTGGAAAAGGAGGTGACGGGGACGGGAACGGGGACGAAGGACATGTGGGGAAAGTTAACTTGATGCGGGCCAAGGATACACAAACACACATGGTCACTGAAGATGAAAACGAGGTACAAAGAATAAAAGAGTAGAACAAGAAAATTCTACCACACATACTTGTAAAGGTCCGAACATATCGAATAATTGAAAAGATATAGCCATATAGATGTATATATATATATATATATATATATATATATATATATATATATATATATATATATATATATTTAGATAGAGATATAGAGATATATATACAAGAGAGGGGGTCTGCTGCGACAATTTGTAAGATATGATAGTCATACTCTACAGCTTTTCCTTCTCTCTCTCTTCCTTTTTTCCTTTTTTCCCTTTTTTTCCTGTTTTCATTTTTTCCCCAACAATGACAGCAAAATTAGTCATTGTCCTCGGCTTCAGCTCCTGTCATTTGCATATATGTGAGAGAGGCTGTGTGACTGTGTATGTGTGTTTTGCTAGTCCTGACAATTATGTACAATTTACTTTGCATAACACTCGAAAGCAGAGGTTTAAAAGTCGGGCCAGGAATGACGAGGCTGGGACAGAGACCTGGCCAAAGCCAACTAGTTAGCATATTTGTTGTTCAGTCCCCCAAGTGGCTTTAGACCTAAGGAATTCTCACAGGAACAAAAAACAAAAACAAAGCAAAAAAGTTAAGGGGAAGCATGGAATACCAGAATGAAAAAAAATCAGTAACTAGAATAAAAGCAGGGTATCAAAAAAAAGTTAACCCAACAATCTAAACAAAAGTAAAAAGTTACCAGAGTACCGACCACATGGAAGGCAAAATTTAAAACTGTGTCCCGAACAAAACGCATAAATCTGAACACAAAAAAAAAAAAAAAAAAGAAAAATAATTCCACATCCTTTGCTCAAAATAAAATATGCAAGAATCTGTATGTTTTGGTAGTTTAAAATGTAACCTTACTAGTACTCTTCGGACACCACACGTGTGCGATTGTGTTGAGTGGTTTCGCTGCTGCAAAAAGTTGGGAATTATTAGAGCCGGGTTTAACAATGTATAGAGAGAGAGTGAAAAAACATTGGGTAGAGAGCAGGTGACAAATTGGTGGCTAATGTGTGAGAGAGATAAAGAGAGAGAGAGACAAAGAGAGAGAGTTTGGATTGGTGGGTGGAATGTGGTGCACTATGAAAAAAAGATTTGGGGTGATTTACGTATAAAAGGTGAACGGGATTGGTGCAACTTCTTGTCTTGTCCAGTGAGTAAAAAAAAAATGCACTCTTGTAAAAAAAATAAGTGCAGAAATGTGACAATTATATATGGTGATTTTTTCTTTGAAAAATATCGTATCTTTGGTTAAGTAGGGTGAAATACATAACCGTTTTGATCGTGATATTTGCTTAACATTTTTTCAGGTTACTCAAGGTGAAAAGTATAACCTTTCTGTGGTGAGCTATGGTGAGCTATGGCGGGCTAAGTGCAAGCTGGAGAACCAAACTAATCCAATGTGAACCTGAAGTGAAAACTGTGGGGAATAATACCGGTGAACAGTGAAACAGGCAGGTGAGAAAACAAAAGCAGGAAATGTAATCATGTTCGAAATGCTGTGCAAATTCTTTTTTGGGCAATGTTGTATATTCGAAAAATTCTCATTGATTTTTTTGTGTCGGTTTTTGCTTCTTGGTTTTAGGTTCCATTTCTCATTGTTTTCCTTTTTTTTTTTTTTTTTTTGTTCAGTTTGTTGACTTATGGATTTTTACTTTTTTGTTGTGGTACTTTTGACTTTTTGCTAACCTTGTGTGGGGTGTTTCGCTTTGGACAATTTTGTGATTTTGGTTGCATTTGGTTCGATTGTTGGTGAGCTGAATTTGAAAACTGATTTTGTTTGTTTTTTTTTTCTTTTCTTTTCTTTTTTGTTTCGATTTGATTGACTTTGTTTTTGATTGGTGACTTTTTTGATTTGGCGATTTTCGATTTTGATTCGTTTTTATATTTGCTTTCGATAATATTTCGATTGAAGTGCAAGATGGTGAGGACTGTACAGGTATGAGAACTGAAATATCGAATTGAGATTGAGTGGTGGTGGTTGTCTGATCTGAATTAGAACTTCTCCGATATGCTATAGATGCGCTTAACGCTAACGCACTTGCGTCGCAGTCGCTCGCACTCGATTTCCCTGAAATCGGCGTGAGAATTGGCGCCCAACGTGTGGCCCGAAACGGAAAGAAGATCCTGTCCGGTGGCAATGTCGTCGATGGCGATGTGATGAATCCTGGGTAGCTGCTGTTGTCGTGTGGCGGCACAAATGTCCGGTTCACTGGTGGCTCCTCCCACGTACGAATGCTGTTCCTCTCGATCCTCGTCGTCGTCGTTGTCGTCCTCGTTGTCCTCCTCCTCGCCTGGCGAATACTCCTGCTCTTCGGACTCAACAAGATCGTCTAGATTCTCGGCCAGATATTGTATTTCTTCCTCTTCACACTGTGGACACTGTGGTTCTTCGGGTGATTCCAGTTGTTGTTGATGCTGTATCCTCGTCTGACACTGGCCTTGACTGATAATGGCCCTTTTTAGCTCTACGAAAAGGGGCGACGAGGGTTTCAATTGCAGCGGGGTCACTACTGCAGGCTGTCCGGGCTGATCGAAAAGACTGGATGGTATCTCACCGGCCGGCAGAGGTTGACTGGTAATAACAGCCGCTGCGCCCAGAACACTATGTCCTGAAACGGCACCTGCCTCGGGATGAATACGATTATCCGAGTTTGTCGACGAGAACTTTGAAAGCAGTGACCTTGAACTGGCTTTATTCTTTAGCTGCTGCTGCTGCAGATAGTAGTAGTCCCGCGGCAGGGAATTAGTGGCATGCAGTGGATCCTCTGGATCGTAGTAGCCCAAGGCGGCTGGTCGAAACAGACCAGGAGTGCTCAACGAATGCAATTGCTGTTGATTTTGAGATTGCGATTGAGACTGCGATTGCGATTGCGACTGAGATTGCGATTCCTGATCGTACGAATCACTAATCACACTGGCCGTTGAGGCGGTGGGCGTGGTCGTGCTGCCCAACGTCGACTGCGAACCGGCGGCAGCGGCGGCCGCGGCGGCGGCAGCGGCAAAC